TTAATTTATTGGGGGGGGGGAGAGTTAAAATAATGGATTCCTGAGAAAACATGCTTTTCTAAGTAAATGTATTTTAGCAGCAATTAGATTAAAGTTAAATATGTTCTTAAATGTATCTTTTCTATGTAATGAAGTACTGTGAAGATGCCAGTAAAGCAGCACTTGCTGTGGTGTAAGTATTACTCTCCATTTGTGTTACATGATTAAGAGCTAGACAGCAGGGTGTGCTAGAACAACAGAGCTATTGCTTATTGTACAGAATCTGCTGGGGGTTTTTGTGCATGCAAAACCTTTTTATAAGCATGAAAGAATTACTTGTTTTTTAAAATGTTATTTTACTTGGTTTTGTATCTGGATTCTTTTTCCACTTTAGACATTGATTTCTCATATAGCCTCATTCTGTGGATGCTTTATAATTTTGTCATAAGTTAAACGCTTTATCTCAACTGTTGATGTTCAACTAGAAGCTGCTTAAAGCTGCGTAAAACTTGATTACAGCCTGCAAGGTGCAGCAGAAGCAGTGATACAAGAAAATCTTTGCAGCAGTGGTTGCAAAATAGATTCTTCAGATCCTGATCCCAAACCTCTGTGCCCAGGTTGTGCCTCATGAAGTCATCAGGGTTCCAGGTTGGCACAGAGCTCTGCCTGAATAAAGTTTACTGCAGGACAAGAATCAGACACTTTATTCCAGCTTGTTTTAACAGATATCTTTTATTTGAGCCTGCTCTTTATCACATGTCTCTGAAGGTGTTTTGATTATATATTTAAGACTCCACAGTTAATGAGATCACTGATCAAACTATAGATTCTCTGTCGAGATGGGATAATTTTCAACTAGGAGTGCTTCAAAGCTTTCTCCATATGTGACAATGAATGTGTGCAGAAATTTTAAATAGTGCCGGTGGCCTGAGGGCATCCTGATCTCAACATTAGGAAACCTGTCTGCAGTAGAACCACCAGTTTGCAATCATCTTACTGCAGGTGTTGAATAACTCTGTTAAATCCCATCACACCCTTGCTCTTTCACAACGACGGGGGTGGGGCACACTGAAAACTTGCACTGTCTCTTGAATTCTTGAGTTTGTTTTGGCCTCATATCTCCTTTTGGTTTAGTGATGAATCTGTCACTAGCTCATCAGTTCAGCCCATATTTTTCCTCTTGTGTTGTGTGCATCTGTTCTATCCCCTTCTGTTCTGTGTGTCTGTTTCATTCAACTTCTTTTCTTTTCCGTCCCTTCTTTGTTTCCATACCCCCCCACCCCACCAGGATCTTGCCTGACTTACTGTTCTTACACATCCTAGTTTCCCTTCATTGTGTCAGCGAGGAACAGCTGAAAGACTCATGGTATCCTGATTCATTTCATTCCATTGTTCTGCCTGGACCATTAGGAAAGCAATAGGTTCTTTCGCAGCCTTTTGTTTCCCTGAAATAAATCGCCCATAAAATCAAATCAGACATTCTTATTTGCCACATTTTTCTCTGAACTGCCCAAACATGAATTAATTTTAAAATGGTACAGCTCCTGTGCCTCCTTTTCAGTGTCTGAGCTGATGAGATTAACATACAATTTTATATGTATTTTGGAGTATCAGTTACCACTTAGCATTGTGGGCTATAACCAGCATGACCCACACAGGCTTAAGTTATCTCCTTGTTCAGTTTGAACTTTTTGAATATGCAATAACATCCTTTATGGTACAGAAGCATTCAGATGTGCTGAAAATACCTGAATAACATTACTGGACCATCAATTTAAAAGATGTTTTCTCCATTGCTTGCAGTGTGTGGGTGTGTATATATGTGTGTGTGCATGTATTTTTGTATACATGTATATATGCTGTAAAAAGGGAGAACTTGGATTTTCACAAGGACTTTTCTGTTCTAAGCAATTCACACTCCTCTACTCAGGATCTCACTGCATCCATCAGTGACGGTATACTGTTTAAATGTCTAGGTCATTTACATCAGTATGAAGAGGATTCATGGCTTTTTATTACCTGATGCCATATTTGCAGAGTGAGAGATGTACTACAGATTCCCAGTAAAGTATTCATCTTCTGTCCCAATGTCACATCTTTCCTAGCATCATCCTTGTCACCACCTGTACTCTTAATAAAACCACTTCAAAATGCAGCAGTATCCTGGATGACTGTCTCTACTCAATATATCTTCAGTCTTCAGGGCCGAATCTCACAAAGATTTAGGTAAAACTGAAGCCAGTGGGACCTCTTGTGAATTAAATGATACTAGTCTGTGTAGACATGAGCCCTGAAATAGCAACAGTCTTGCAAGGAAAAGGTGAATTGTATTAACAGAATTGTGTGAGGAAACTAGTTCATCCCTTGGGGTATTTATATCTGGCTCAAATCTCCCGTAAGTTCCTCACTTTAAAACTTTCTCACTTCACATATTGAAAAGCAAACAAAATTGAAAAGAACATTGAAAATTATCTGAAAATCTGAAAAGCAAGCCATTTAGGAACGTTTATTTGTAAGAGTTACCATATTTATAATACAAAAAGTATGAGTTTTAAAAAGGAAACCCACTTTCCATGTCTGCTTTTCAGTTGCTTAATTTTTTTTCCTCTTGCATACTTTAGCAATCATTCTCCCTTAGAGTTCACAAATTAGACCCAACTGCTTCTGCTGCACATGTATATGAAGACTGTAGAGTTTATAAGGTACTGAAAAGAACTGACATAGTGAGATATGGTAAATAAAATATTCAAGTAATTAAAACTTAGAGCCAACTAAAATGTATGACATTTGACAAACGTGTCTTGGAGCTTAGCTACTGACCACTAACCATGAGAAATCTTGGTAAACACTTGAAAATGCAGCTCCTAGGTGCCAGTAGAATGCTTCTGACATTCCAAATCTTGCAGAATCAAAACAAGGAAATACATTTAAATAGCCAAGTTCTGAGGCTAATTCAAGAAGAATAATTTATCCTTAACCTGTGCAGTGGGTGACAGATAGGGAAAACAAAATATTTGTAGGTTAAAGATGTGTCTACCTTAACTTGGAGTGTCCTGTTATCATTGGTCTGCATCACAAATTTAATGGTTTTTAAATGTATTTTTGTGCGTTCTACATTTCTTGATTTTTTTTTTTTTAAATTGTCATGGAAATTTTCTATAAAATGCAAATCACTTACCTGATATACTGAATGAGCTAAGGATAAACCTGTATTTAGTATTATAGGGAGTTGTCGTGTTCTTACAAGTCTGTATTATAGAAAATTACTGCGCATGTGCGATAGATAATTTTCAAATATTAGTATATCGGATGTTTACACATTTTAAAAAAAACTCCTTTGTGTACAGTCAGTAACAGCCTGCAAAATCTAGTCTAAAGCAAGTGTTTTTTTAGTAACAGAAACGCAAAGACCTGTTGGAAGCTTGTACATGTTTAATATGTCATGTTTCAACCCACAGCAAACATACAACTGTGCTATGAATCCCTGAAAAATTAGATTTCCAGTGGAATTGCTGTCACAGCCTTAACTATAGTATTATAAAAATGGTGCTTAAATACATTTATGTGCATGGATGTGGGTACCTCATATCTGATAAGAATTTAAGTGAGAATTTGAAGTGAAACTAAGCATTTTGGGTGCTGAAATTGCAAATACACTAATGCTCCTGTTAAGATTATACAACCATATTTGTGAATTTATCATAAAATATGTAAACTTACAGACAAATAGAAACCATTTCCTAGTTTGTTTTTAAAAAACTGGAAAATAATGCGTACTTTCTTGGTTCCTGTGTGCATTAAACATTTGCAAACAAAAGGTAGGGCAAGATGGGATTGCCTGGAATGTTTTAGAGAATGAGGGCTTGGTTGTTTGAATGCAAGGAAAGTTGATGTTTTTGTGTTGGTATGGTGTGGCCATTCATTGTGGTTTTCCAGTTTTCTTTGAGAGACAAAAAAAGAAAAAGCCCCACTTCTGTTTTTAAAAATACTTCCTCAGTGAGTGGTGGTCATCCAGTGTTCATGTATCTAAGGCTGGGGGAGGGAGAGGGTTCTTATTTGTATTTTCACTAGGAATATATAATCTAAGCTATTCATTTCTTTATTTCAGAATCATTACAGCAGATTTCATTTAGAAATAACAGTTTTTACAGTTGATGAGCTTGGAACAACAAAACTAGTGCTATCTAGGCTCTTTTTTTCTGTGTTCTTGTCAGTTTCAAATAGT